TCTGTAATTAAGTCATCGCTCTGTAAGTCGGTATGCCGCTAAATATAACTAGATTGATTGAATCGAACGTTGGTTGGCAAAGCGCAGTTAAATCCATAAATAATCAAACAAACAAATATCAAAGATTATTCCATCGTGTGATATCGGGGGGTTATAATAACACTTTATTTGTTATGCATAGTCGTAAGCAGTCCACATGCCCAATAAAGTAATAATTAGTCATTATTCATCCACATTCTCAGCTTCTAAAATAAACAGACGAAATTGTCGGAATATCGGTGAGAATTTGGTATACTAAAACCAGTAAAAGTAATTCCACCGATAAATCAGACCATCACACTCAGCCCGAAGAGATCGAGAGAGACAACGAGGCGACAAGAACAACAGAAACAACAGAAACAACAGAAACAACAGAAACAACAGAAACAACAGAAACAACAGAGCAGCGATAACAATAATAACAATAAAACAATAATAACAATAATAACAATAATAGCAATAATAACGATAATAACGATAATAATGAAAATAATGATATCGCGGTAACAATATATTACAAGTTCCGATTCGTCCAAGACCCACTCTCACCATGCCCCATCTTCTCACGACTAATCAGAAGTCGTGGCCGCTCGTCCCGTCACCTTCTCCACAAGGTCAGTTTCCCAATAAATCGCCTCGAGAAAAAAGCTTGTTTCTGTTATGCGTCATGCCCAGGTACCATGTGGCAATGACAGCCCGTGATCGAATAGATATGGTTTAATATGAATTACCATTTATCAGCTTAAAACACAATGACGTCGATAATTAGGGGATGTGTTTATCTCCGATAGAAATCGTGAGCAATAAACCATTCACCGTCTGATTGGACGATCATGTAATGATTCTTCATAAGGACATTTAATTAACCCAAGACTTGACCAACAGCAATCACTGAATAATAATAGTCCTGCCTTCCATGTCTTTGACTTCTATAACTAGATTTTCTTGTAAATTGATGTCAATGGTGCGTTTTCTGTAAATTTCCCTCGGTTATGCAATTACTATAATTATTACATTCTTACGGGAACATCCGATTGCTTCCTGTCTGTTTATCTGTGCAGCTAATGTATAACATGTGAAGGGAAACAAAAACCCACTCTGTATTGTAGAATCGTGATTCTTTACCACCGGGATTCCTATTTATTGATCATAACATAAAAAGCATTGTTTATGGTGAATTTGAAATTAAGCACGTATGACAGATAATCGGAGTTTTAACAGAGATCCTGGCTGGCAAGTAAAGATAGCGTGAATTTATTGTGTAATACTTGTTTGGTGTTACGATCATTAATCATACCCTGCTACCATCTCGGTTAGCATTATTCCTAAGGTTATCGGGAATGAGCAATCGAAACCAATCACATTCCTCAACCGGGAGGAGATAACCGATCATTGACAACTACGCCACTGTTAAGGCTTTCTTTTTTAGAACACGTCTAGAAGTTGTATTCTACTTATTGACACATATATCTATTTATATCTGAATATGTCTATATATATGTGTGTGTATGTTTGTGTGATATTAATATTTGATATCTAATTATTAATACAAGAGATCATTATAAAATATGCCCTCCTACTTAAGCCTTTATTGGTTATATCTAACTTTATCAGCTGTAACACTTGCCAAGCGGAACCTTCTCACTTTAGAATTTCAAAGATCGGTAAAGAACATGCAAACAAATGGGGAAGCAACAGCGAGGATGGAAATGACAAACGCACTTTAGAACAAGTGTGGCGACCATTTCTGTCATGTATAAGCATAAACCCATCCAACGATCTAATTACATAACGCGATGAACAGACACTGATTCCTTGCATAATTTATAGACATTGTATCTACCAGCATCAACGTCTATTTACATTGTCTCTTGTCAATGTGATTGGTGCTATAATGGAAGTGAGAACAAACGATCGCTTAATACGGGCAATTGATATGTATTTTTTTGGGATCATTGGCTCATCTAATCAGCAAGTAAATAAATATTATGAACGGCACATGTTTATCACATCAAAAAAATCCAACCTGTTTCATCCGATTTTGCTCCCACCACGCGATACTCTCCGCAGCGAGAAAACAGATATACATTTATGAAAAAGGAAACACTTATCCACATTTCGAACACACATTAAACAGGGTTACGGGCACAACCCCTAATTTCATCATTTCATCCTTTCATACAACAACCCTCATTTCATACACAAAACTCACCCCACCCCTCGTTCGCATCACTTTGCATACCCTTATCATCACACACGCTATACATCGAAAGACAAAGGAAACAAAAAAAGGAGCCTCAACTTGTTCCTGTTTGAAAATTCAATATTTCTATAAATGTTGCTACAGGGATTGCTTAGTATGACATATTAGTATATGGGTGTCAAAATTCGTCTCTCCGCATTTTGCATGCAGTCTTTATTGGTTGCACACTCACTTCTCCACAATAAGCCCCTGCATCTTATGAGACTGTTACTCTGTCAGTTTATCTGACATCAACAAAGGGTTAGGAAAAAAAAATAGAGTAACAAGAGCCAACTTTTGCAGATCGGTTGGGCGAAACAATACAACAATAGCTGTTAGAGGCAAAACCCTCTCCCCATCCGGTTTGTAACTTCAGCCATACATATTCTTACATATGGCGTAAGTGCACTCTACCAAATAAATACATATCACCTGCAACAAGTGTTGTCCTACGTCAAAAATGTATTGCGATCGTCTTCTCGCCTGGATGTTTCTTACACTATGGGAATAAAATTTTAAGGTTTGCTCTCTCGCTTAGCGTCAGTTGGGGGCAAATGGGCAGATGAGGCGTTCTCACTTGCATGGTGTAATATGTAATATCGACATGCAATTATTATTTTTTTTTTTCACTACTGGCCATCAAAATGCAAGCGTGCGCAAATTAGTATAAATGAACGAAGGCAAATTATGCATATTCCTTTTGCATTGTCTTGCCAAATGAAGATTTATAAACAAGGCGACAATCTTGATTGTGATCAGAATTGGGTTAATTGGTAGAATAACTCTTTTTTTTTTTCTCCCAGTTTCTCCTTATTATCTTATCGATTGTCATCGCATACAGCTATATCATTTTGTATGCATCCTGCAAAAGTGCAAAACCCGCATATCATGTTATTGCTTGTGGATGCCAGATCTTGAAAGGAAACCTTGATAATATGCGTTTTGGCGTGATATTTGCCGTGATATATTGTTATTTTACTCGAGCTCACAACATGGTCAGCCTACTTGTGGCTAACACACAGCTCACAGGCCCCAAATACGCGCTTATTTGTGATTGATACTGCATGTCTCAGGTCACGCCCGCATTGTGGCTGGTTTCTCGTAACACAGTTTTCTGATGGAAATGGAAGTGAGTTGGCATGAGTAAACGTTTTAACAGATCAAGGGCGTCATAAAACCGGCATTTATCATGGCGCAATCTCAGTTCAAATGGAGCGATTGGTTGTAAATCAAGTATTAATATTTATTTGTCTGTTGTTGAAAATCATCAACACACGAATGAAATCCAAGGATGGGCGGAAATTAGTTTAACAAAGCCGATTTTATACGACATTTAAAGACAAGTGCTACTGACTATTCTATCCCATAGCAGGTTTAGAGCGAACTATCTAGCGGGCAGGGAGTGGGTGGGGATTCTCATAAATTGAATTCCATGGAGGTGGTCGATTATTATTGGATAATCGAAAAATGACAATTTCTTCAATAGGATGTTATTTCACCATATTCGTAATTGATCATCTTGCAAGTGTTTGTGTCACTCGAGGGAATAAAACGCTACTGGCGGAAAACGCCTTTAACCGTCGATACATGATATTTATTATTATCTTATCAATCTACACTACTTTGATTAGTAATTAAAATGAATAAAGTTGTGTAGCTTCTTGAAGCGATATTATTGTTGTATAATCTACGCAAAATAGTCAACCCATATTGTGAATGGGAATCTATATGCGGTTGTCATACTGTAAACATTAATTTTAACCATCAACCAACAAACTTTGGGTATTATTAATTGATTTTTGTTATTGCACACCTGCTTGATGTTGTTGATTCATAAACAACCTGCATTTGTAAATGGGTCGTATTCTTATCTCGAATGTCCATTTCATTTTTTTACCCTCCATCAGTTTTGCAGAGATGAAAAAAAAGGGGGGGGAGAATAAATAATTTCTGTATAACAATAAACCCAAGCCGAGAATAGTTTTTCCATGCATGACCGTCAACTACGTAACCGGGCAACAGAGACTAAAAATAAACATTATAGTGTTGTGAACTAAAATTAAAATATTCATACCAATTGCGATCTTACTCTGATATGAACAAACCTTTTTTCAGGAAAAAGAAATCTGGTTCTGATCTTAATGTACGGTCAACGCGTTCTATGAATGGTGACAGCGAGGAGATCATGCAATTGCTTTTGAACTGTAAGTTATCAACTTGGTCTTAACGTCGCGACCCACGAGTTTTGTAATTCGTATGTATGAACAAGTCCTATCCATAGACTTGCTATCCATGTTGGGCGAACCGTTTGAAAATGCAGCCTAGATCCTGGATTACAAGCATTATTTGCTCACGAATTTGCGAATCTTTACAATAAACGATCAATGTAGAGATTGATAAACGTGGCATTTACTTTATATCCAGTAACTAACTATGTTTATAATCATTTAATTAGTGATTGATCATGGTAAAGTAACTGACTTCCTTCCCCATTCTAATTTCCACGAATAATAAGTTAAAATAAATACAGTGACTCCAAGAATAAAAGTGACGGTTGATATATTATTTGCAGGCGGAAAAACTAGAATTTTGATCATTAGAAGAGTAACGAATAAAAGAGAACACTCATATGACTCTACTCTAAAAATACACAGAGTCCTAATCCTCACTTAAAAGAGAAAAAAAAAAGGAATGGAAAAAAAACAAAACAATAATAAACTTATTGTAGCGACTCTCCATTAAGGACCCAATCTGCAACATATGAAAACTCGCGGAATTCTTCTTGGGAATTTGCTGCCAGTCTAGAGTTTATAGGTGTCAACATTGGAATTTCTGATGTAAATTCCTTGTCAAAGTTGGATGTGTCGGTTGGCGATGACTTAAAAAAAAATAGACGAGTAAAACGTTAATCCATCACAAATATATAATAACGCGAGGTTATCCTCGAAATAAATAACCGGGACATTAAATATATATTTATCGGTACTCACTATAGTAGGATAGAATGGTGGTGGTACTTTCTTAGCCAGCATGTCATCCCAATTCACGCCTTTGAAAAATGGATGTCGCTTTATTTCTTCTGCGTCACCTTTGCCAGACCCAAGACGTCGTTCGGGATCCCGTGTAAGTAGCTGCAATAGCAAACAACATAAGTCTCTAAAGAAATTCAATGAAACCGGACGACGCATTATTAATACATACTCTTTGTAATATTGACACTGAATCTCTTGACATATTTATAGGATACAAGATTTCATCCTCAAGAATAGCATCAAATATTTCATCTTCATCATCACCTCTGAAAGGCGATTGACCCAAGAGCATCTCGTATATTAGCACTCCGAATGCCCACCAATCCACCGCACGTCCATATCTCTTCTCCAGGAGGATCTTTAATAAGATTATTGTCAGAATTCACATCTTTATCGAGTCAATCCAAGAATATTATTACGGTATGGTTATATAACGTACCTCAGGTGCCATAAATTCAGGTGTTCCACAGAACGTATTAGTTGTGTTGCCAAACCACATTTCTTCCTTGCATAAACCATAATCTGCTATCTTAATATGACCGTCTAATGCAAGAAGAATGTTGTCGAGTTTGAGATCTCGGTATATAATGCCTTGTTTATGAAAATATTCCAAAGCCAGCAATACTTCAGCAGCATAAAATCTACAAGTTAATTAAAAATTTAGTTAACAATGGACACCAAGAAATCTTCATACGCAATCATGAAACGTATGATATGCACCACTCACTGTCTGTGCATTAAATTATACTTACTGGGCTCGACGATAGGTAAACTGCTCTTTTTGAATATGCAACATCAGATCACCCCCACTAACATATTCCATGACAAAGTAGATGCGTGTCTCTGTCTGAAAGCACGAATGCAATCCAACTAAAAATGGATGTCGTTCTCGATTGGCAGCTTGGAAGACACGCTTCTCCGACCGAGTACTAATCAAACAATTAAAATATTTAATAGAATGCATTTTGTTAACAACAACTAAACGCTTGCCTTATAACATACCTTTCAACTTCATCGTTTTCAATAATGTATTCCTTCTTGAGCACTTTAATGGCATGCAAACGCTTAGTAGCTTTCTCCTCAGCAAGCATCACCTATAGGTCATTAGTCAAAAGTTAACAATTTTTATATCGTACATGTAATTAAGCAATACGATATGTAGTACGTGTTAGACGAACCTTGCCAAAATTGCCTTTACCCAATACGGCAAGGAAATCAAAGTTTTCCAGTCCAATTTTTGGCGGCTTCTGAACAGGCTTCCTCTCAGGCGGCCTCTGAACCGGCGGCCTCTGAACAGGCTTTTCGCTTACGGGTAGAACTTGCTGCAGTGGTGGCTAGACATCATTAATGTAGGCAGAATAAATACCGTTAAACGTTTTTAGTCAATAATTTGCTGTATTTGTCATAATTGACGCGAATTAATATGAGAGCACCGTCGATTATTGACTCACTCTTTGAGCAGCTGGTGACATATATTCAACCGTGGTCGTTTGTTCGGGATATGCACCGGCAGGGCTATATGAAACTCTGGCCTGGTTGTGTTTCGGCTGTTGCATATGGTCATCCGGCGGTGGATATGGTGGGGGAGGATAAAACGGAATTGGGGGAGCCTGTTGATTTGGAGCCTGGCTAATTACGGGAGAGGATGCCTGACTATCAGCCAAACTGGGTCGTCTCTCTTCTCTGTTAGCTTTAGCCTGTCGAATCTGTTCGATCATGTTATTTGCCGTCTTCATAGGTAATCCACAAAAGTAAGGAACAAGATGGCTACATTTTAAATGGCAAGCAATGCTACATTCTACAAATTATGGCAATACGGCAATTAAAGATGCATTCCCAACTGGTATAAAAAAAAATCGAAATCGCTTCTTACCAGTACATTTCATCGCTTTTCTTCCAAGTGGAAGCATGTATCCACAATGGCAGCACCAACCAGCACTCATATTCCTCACAGCTTCAAATCGATGAGGTATACGATGATTTAGCTGCTTATAGTCAGAGTCCTATTTAAAATAATGGAATCAAGTATTAACACCATTGATACAATAGTATTACTGATCGGACAATTACCATAATACATACCATTTCAGAATTAGACTTGGAAATGCATTTTGTGACAATTTTAGTATGACATCTCTTATGGCAAGTAAGCTTACAGTCTGGTATCATAAATAGAAAATTCGAACATTATTGACAAGTTCAAGATCGTTTGTGATTGTGATATGATGTACTACATACCTTCACACTGGTATCCTTCGTTAAGAAACAACTCCTCACAGTATGCGCACTTCATGATCGGGTAGAATTGGCGTTGAACAAATTTATGTCCGTTCTGCTCGAATATTTTCTTGGGTATACGTTTGGCATTAACACGTCCAATAGCCGCAGGTCTCTTTCCAACATTCTCCTTGGCTGCGAATACAACATGGTATTGGTTAGAAAGGTCAATTAATGATTGGGGAACGAGTCTTACAAAAAGCAAGAGTTAAATTGTAGCAAAGTTAACGCACTGAAATCAAGCTTCAACAAAATCTGCCCAACAGGCTCAATCTCAAACCAAGCTTCGATTCCATCTGGTGAAATTGTTGTAGCAGTTCCTTGCTGGCTTTGTGTAGATGGGTATGGTATGCTGTAAAGATCTGTGTATGGATTATTATTGTTGAAGGTGGGTGGATTTTGTGATTCGAATCCACCATCAGACGCCGTAACCCAACCAGGTCCACTCCCTGCTTCAAACTTTTTCTTCTTTCTCATTTCTTCAGCAATGTCATTTATCTTAATCCATAAAAGTCCAATAGGAACTTGATGCTCGTTTGGTTTATCGTAAACGGTGATCTCGATCTCGCTAGCTTTTTCGACATGAAGAGTAAAATTCTCATTCCAACGACCATTACGCGTCACCTTTGTCCTAGCTTGAGGTTGTCCATCAATTTTAATAACAGCGGTAGTCTCCGGCGTCTTTGAAGTACGTGAGTGTGCGTGTTGCACATGTCTCACTTGATATATTCGTATATCGAGTTTACCCGTCATTCGGCGGCGAAGTCCAGGCGTAAGGCGGTACATATCATTATCATCGTTCGACGATTCTGTATATGGGCGACAAGTTTTTTTCACAAGTAAATCGATGGATCAAGGACATATGCAACCCTCGTATTACGGACAACAACAGCAACAACTACAACAACAAAAGCTCACCATCTTCATCATTAATTCCGCTAATATACAACTTTTTATAGTTATTAAGCGACCTCGATAAAAGTGAAATCTTTTCTCTACTCTCGATCATCTTGCCAGCAACCTCAGCGATACTCTTTTTATTTTTAGGATCCTGGAATACCACCGCATTCGCCATCTTTTGGGATCCCTCCATCAACTTTCGCTCTACGTCAAGTTTAAATTCGAGTTCATGTAATTTGAGTGATACTTTTTGGGTAGTCATGGGCGTATCAGATTTAATAAGATCTACACAAGAGATGAATCACAAAATTAACGATATAATTAGCAATAATATAAACACGTATCCATTAAACTCGGAAACAAGAGAATTCGTCATTTCACCTAAATTCGATGGTTTGCGTAAATTAGACGCATTGTTGTCCTGCGTTGCATTTGGGTCCATCCCTTGATGTGGTCGAACTGGAAAGTTTTGGCCCTGGTTCTGATATGGAGGATGTCCTGGCGTTGAAAGGTTTTGATGCTTGAGCTGAATTTTTTCAAGTTCGCTTCTCAGATAATCAATGTTCCTCTGCATAACCATTATGCTCTGTTCGCATTGTGTGCGCACGGCAGGGTTGTCACTGTTAGACTTGAGTCTTACGGCAGCCTGCCGCATTTGCTCTTCTTTCTTGATTTTTTCATTTATCGTCTTTATCACATCCTGGTCCTAAGCAGTGGGGAATGCAGTTTAGCCTTTGAAATTGTCTTTTTAAACCCAGGATATCCAAAGCAAGTCGGACAAAGCTTTTACCTCCATTGTACTTCTCTGCAGGTAGACGTGTTATTAACAAAAGTTCATAGAAACGAAGCAGGCCGGGTGTTTCGACGAGAGAGACAGAGTGAGGAAGATTGTTCAGATATAGAATTACGTTGCTATTGAATTAGTCGTAATCGGGCTGTGTCATCTGTCCTTCTCTGAAATAGAACCTAGATCCCACGTGGTTGACACTGCAAAATGTGATATCCGATAGGAGGGGTATGATATAAAACGCAGCAAAAATCCCAATTATCGAAACAATCTGGGATACCGTTGAGTTTTATCAACACACACACACACCTGGTGAGTCAATCAACTCTGCATTCTCATCATCACCGTTAACCATACGCTCGTCCCGCTCTCAGACATCGTTAAGAAACCTTAGTAGTTAAGCAAAAACGATCTCTTATATTTACGAAAGAAACTACCTGGTGTATAGAACATATCTGCGCTACATTCTCTTCTATAAATACCCTTTTACGATCTTGATTGCTTGCTAAAAAAAACTCCAGAGCCATTGTCAAAACACTATTTTATGCCATAATTTATGCACATCACGAAACGCGTCCTACCATGTAGTCAACCCGTTTGCACCTCTCCATAGTATCCTCTTTCTCGCCTTTGGAGTTTCACTACATCTCAATGCCAAAATTAAAAGGCTTTAAAGGTGCCTTAGAAGCTTATATCAAGCAGAGCTTACGATCAAACACTTGTCTCACTATTATTTTCATTTTTTGACGTATGGATTCGTCTGATATTGTGCAGAAAATCGTTCATTCACTCTGCAGCAAGTAGTCCTTACGCTCGTTCATCCATAGATGTCGTAGGTCCTCCAGATATTAAACATGAATTCGAAACGTCGTCCCAATGATTATTCTGATGATGAGGGGACTCCTCATCACAACCGCGACAAGACGTTTAAACGAGAGCGTCGTCCGAGTCTTGAAAGAAGAGATTTCCGCGACCGCGATCGCGATAGGGACCGAGATCGTGATAGGGATAAAGATAGAGAGAGAGACAGAGAGCGCGATAGAGATCGACTACGCGATCGCGACTATGATAGAGATCGGGATCGTGACCGTGATGCATTTGGAGATCGAAGAAAAAGAGAAAATAGTAATTCCCCTGCTGAAGATAGAGGTAATGGAACTCGAAAATAAAATTACTGAGGTGTTTATGTTGTTCATTATCGCTATATTGTTCTTTGCTGATATTGATTCTACCTTAGATCGTCGATTTAAAAGAAGGCGATCTTTATCACCGAGAAGGCCCGAAGGTGCTCTTGGGGGAGATCTTTATATTCCCGACTACGAGAAAGACGGATATGCACCTGGACCGAGATATGGAAAGCCAACAGAAATGCGTTATCCACCGCCACCATATCCAGTAATGCCTATGGGTAACTTTCATATAAAATAAGCGATTATTGTTTCAAGATTATAATGATGCTTTATTTAAAGATTTGACTTTTATAGGATTTAATGTTCCGCCGCCTCAACTTATGCCACCAGGAGGTCCATTGATGCCAATGGATTGGACAGGCCCTCCGGGAAGGTACTAAGCGCATATATTTAATATACATCAATGTGCCAGCCCGTCTTGCTTGCATCGTATTTTGAATAACTTATTTATCTTGTAGGCAAGAACCGCCGAAAGATCCAGCAGAATTAGATTTTCTTGTCACATACAAATACTTCGTCGATTATCTCATGTATAAAAACCCAAATACCCGGTATGATGACGAAGAACTTCATAGAAAATATAGTACATATAAGGAGGAATTTGGTTTCCGGCAGTTGCGTACATTCTTTGAAACTCACAAAGAAGAAGAGTGGTTCCTTGAAAAATATGAACCCAAACATTTAAAACCACGTATTGATGAAGCCAATGAGTTGAAAAAGAAGTTGTTTGAGAAATTTGTTGAGGAACTGGATGAAGGAAAATTTGATGACATATCAAATGACACAGTCGAATCAGTGGAAGTAAAATTAGAAGGTATAACAGTATATACGCGGCCTGTTTTGCAACACCGCGATGACCTATTTACCTGCGATTCTCTTTGTACAGTCATTAACTTTCATTGTGTATTTGCTAGAGAGTGTATCAGAGCAGAAAAATGAGCAAGAGGAGGAGAGTAACCGACTTTTTATCAAAAGTGTGCCTCCAACAATCTCCCGATCCAAAATTATTGAGGTATGCGAACGACTCTTTGTCATGTTTGTTAACGGCACGTGCGATTTAAACATTTTTAATTTTTGGTTGTAGATGTGCGAGCGGGTCGAAGGTTTTAAATACCTCGCACTCTCAGAGCCAAATCCTCAAAAGAAGTTTCACAGGTTAGGTTGGATTGTCTTTACAGAGGAGACAGACATGGATGAGGCGTTTAAACAGCTTAATGAACAAAAGGTGGGTATTTTTTTTGTCTGAACGATACATAGCCCCTATTACTAACATAGCTGTACTCTATTTTAGATCGATGATTTTATTTTCTATCTTGCTCGACATAAGAGTCACAGTGGTCCTGTTCGCAATCGGATTGCTCCCGAAACAGCTACCACGCCCGAGAGGTTAAAGAAAGATCTTGAACGTATAGAGGAGCTTATAAGCAAACTAGACAATGACCTTGGTATCGTTGGTGCCAAAGAAAAGATTAAAGATAGACTCGAACGACTTACAGAAAATGTAGATGATGAAAATACGCGAGTATGTAATATACTTATTATCCTTGTCGACAAATACCCGATTGCAATTGCTCACATTGTTGCGATATATCTAAACAGATTAAGAAATCTTTGGATCTTCACATGGAATACCTACGTCGAACTCATTTATTCTGTTATTATTGTGGTAGCGATTCTGATTCAGTGGAAGAATTCACTAGAAAATGTCCTGGCCGTCATTTGAGGAAGTCCGCTGTAACTAATGAAACGAAAGCCCCTTCAAAAAATCCGAAAGAAAAATCCAACAGCGGTATGTTACATAATTAACTCCCGATGTTATACAAAATCAGTCCGCAAGCTGACCCGTTCCCAATCCTAACAGCAGCACAATGGATTAAAACACTCGACAACAAAATTGATTTAAAACTACATCCCCAAGAGTTCCTAGAAAAAATCGGAGCTCTTGGAGGAAAGAAGATGGAAACGTATGTACTTTAATAGACAGTTTACGATTCTACGTTTTCTTTATGCTAATGTCTATACTTTTGAATAGTGAGATAGATAATCTCGTACGAGACAATACTGCAGAAATGGAACCAGGAGTTAAATTTCGCTGTAAATTATGTGGTAAACTATTCAAAGGTCAAGAATTCGTACGGAAGCATATCAATCTCAAGCACAACGACAAACTGGAAGAAGTTAGAAATGATGTAAGTAATCTGTTTATTGCATCGTTTAGGTTCAGTCACAGCATGTTCTAATACATTTAAAAATGGACAGTGTGCATTCTTTAATAATTATGTGCTTGATCCGAATCATCTTCTTCCAACAACACCCCCAAATCCGACAGCTGGTTTATTGGTACCGCAGAATAATCCTCCCGTACCACCTAATCCATTCCCAGTTATACCCAATGGACCGCCGCCGCCGTTCCTTGGCTTCAATTTCCCTCTCATGGGAGCTGCAGCAGGAACACCACATGATCAAATTCCACGTATAGGATTCGACGACAGGGGCGATATGCGTGACAGGAGTGGAGGGAGAAGATCTCCCGGAAAAAAACTGCCACCCTCTCGCTCTAGGCTCAAGTAAGCATATATAAATAACTACGCAACATTTTCTATTTAAACGATGATAAGAATCTTATGTTTAATTATGTATTATAGCGATGCGAACATGAGTTTTGACCCGCGCCAGGTGAAGTCATACGTTGATTTAGATGCACCAGCTGAAGGCGACATAGAGATTAAATATTGACATCAAGTAGATTCGATACATAATAATAGCGTTGCATCAGCAAATATTTCAGACACTAGCCTTGCTTTTTACCCTCACTCAGTTGACTCGCACCTTTTCATCCACTATGTATGCAATATTCTGATACTTTCTTACAATTTAGCACCTGGTATTAACTGCCAGAGGCAAAGATTAATTGAATACTGGTATTTTTATTACATTTTCCGCAATAAATCTGCTGCAGATTGCTGATATTACACAACCTTTCCGACAATATTATATCTTTCCGCAAAGAAAGTGTACCACTTGTCAAGGACTTCTAGCTATTATTACAAACGAATGTTGGCATATGATTCGGATGCGAATTTACAGGGCTACAAGATGACTTACTTGAGCTTCGTCCAATGTACTAAAATCAGCAACAACATCTTGAGGGTCCGTCGAGCTCTTGCCCAGGGCCTAAATTGTGTATCATTGTTAATAGACATAGATCGAACATTCTCTTTTCAAGTAAGCACCGGTCGCATTTACCCTAGATGCATCCTTTCCAGCAAAAACACTGTAAGCGCCTCCGGGGCCGTACAATTCGCGCTTGGAAGACACATCGAATACCGTTCCCTTCACCGCAACATAAATCGATGCATCGGCGTCTGAGCCATTATACTGTTATTCACAAAAAGTAAACACATTAACATCTGGACAGACCAGCGCGATAAGATATGTCAAGGTACACCTGCCTGAGAAAGTTGCTCCGGAGTGAAAGGAGTATCTTTCGGAGGATCGAGGTTTGTATCTTTAGGTGGTGCAAGTCCCCACAGTCGACTGAAATAATTGAACGAGGTTACCTTCCAAATTTCCGCATTCGTGTTTGCGTTGAATGGTGGAACCTGCCTGCTGTATCCCTTCCCCCTCTTGCCATATGAATATTTAAATACTCACCCCATCATGACAAAAGAAAAAGTATGATAGTTGTTGTCTCCGTTGTATTGTTACGTTGAGGTATTAATATCTATTGATTGTTACACATGTCAATCATGGGGCACGCCGGCCGGAATAATAACGTAACAGGAATAGATCCAACGGAAACTCCCACAGCGATGCACT